CAGGATAACAGTGTGCATGTGTGTGCACGCGTAAGCATGGAAAGTAAGCCCCCCTGAGCTGGAGGAAAGGTGCAATAAAAAAAACCAAGATACAGACCTTATAGAAATAGTACATCCACTGCACAATAGTCCTATAGACCTGGCATTCCAAGACAGAAACAATCTTGACCACATTAAAAAAAAATACTTGTGAGAAATAACTCAAGCTGTAACACAGTGACCTCACGATGGGTCTATTATCTTGTCTATTATCTAATGATAGATGGAAGGAAACTTTTATAGTTTTGGTGTTATATGATCATTAATGACAGTGCTTGCATATGGAAGCAAGGCTAAGCCTCCAGGAATGGAGATGTTGGGAAATCTCATTAGACCTTCATGTAATCCATAAGAGATCTCCTCAGAAGCATCGCCATGGTGTGCCAAGCCAGGGCTCTGTGTGGCGTGCTCTCTCTTCGATCTGGTATTAATTAGGTTGCATTCTGTGAGAGGTAAGTGCTGAATCTTAAGAGCTGTTGACACTGGACATGGTCCAGACTAGCCTGGGGTGAATATTAAGGAAGGGAACTTGGCTTTTGCAGCTATCACCACATCATATGTTGCGCAAATGTTCGCTTTCGTTGTAGGTAATGGATTTCCGACAACATCTGGGACCTTTCTCTGGCATGTCTAATCTGGAATAATATATGACCCAAGCACTTTGCCGTATAGGGTTTCCCTTCATTTTATAATAACATTAATATTGTTCTAATTCTTGGCTCAAACGGTTAAAAAAATAAGACGTGTTCCCAAAGGGACGTGAGCTGGTGAGCTGGTCCTGCCACTGATTGGGACGAGGCCACAACCGCCCATGCGCAATTGGATTACTTGCTGCGCGCTTTATGGGGTGATACTTTTGAGAAGGAACTGGAAGTTCCAGCTAGTGTGCAATGCTTGATTTTGGCACCTGCCAATCACCGGGCATCATTTGTTTCTATCCTGGCAACTTGTTTGGTCCTAGACCCAGTTCAACAGGCTGTTTGTGACTTCTAAAACCCATAGGCTCTGCGTTCCATAGGGAGTGCCAATTCCCGGCGCCCTTCCCTGTTTTCCCAGATTATTTGATAAGGAGCTGGCCAAACCGAAGTTGAACCATCCAGACCATTAGCAGTGGTGAGTGTGGATTCTCTAAGGTAAATTGCAGGCATGGAGATTCTTGATCAACACCAGCAGCCAGTTGAGGTAGCAGGGGGCTTTAACTACTAGCCTTCTGCTGCAGTCCCCATTTGGATCTGGGTACCCACCCCAGCTACTGGCATCAGGCAGAAAATCTTTACTGGCGTCAACTGGAGATCCTCTCTCTGCAAAGAGCAAGTGTGGGCAGGTGGCGAATCAACCTGAACCATAAGGCGGGGGGCAAAACCACTAACCTCAGTAAACAGTGGGGTTTGGGATCCCAGACAGTTCAGTGTAAAATGATGCAGTTGGTTACGGCATGTGGAAATCTCCTTAGTGTTCCTTCCACCTTTGGTTGAAATGGTGATTTTGATTTTGGGAGTGGCAACCATATTTAGTTCTAGTTCTCATGTCATACAAGAATAATAGTGCTTGGGTGTGGAGATGTGCACATTTTCCTTAAGAATGCTTTTCCTACAACAAGCTGCTCACGGCTCTCCTCCACCCACTACGTCCCCTTCCAAAATGTTCAACTCCATTGCCAATTAAGGCTCCAGCCCCACTGTCTTCAGGCACACACTGCCCCACTTTCCTCCCTGTATGGACCGACTGCTTACATTCAACACAGGCTGTCACTCCACCATAAGCACCTTTGTATCTATACCAGGCAGGAAGAACATGTGACATTCCTTTAGAGCAGTGGTCCCCAACCTTGGGCCTCCAGATGTTCTTGGACTACAACTCCCAGAAGCCTTCACCACCACCTCTGCTGGTCAGGATTTCTGGGAGTTGAAGTCCAAGAACATCTGGTGGCCCAAGGTTGGGGACCACTGCTTTAGAGGATGGTGGACCTCAACTCCCATGATTCTTCAACACTGGCCACATCGGCCAGGGTTGATGGGAACTGAAGTCCAACAACATCTGGAGGGCTACACATCATCTGTCTGTCATCTATGCTAGCAAGCTGAATAAAGATATGGCCAGATGGTTCCAGATCTGAAAGCTATACTTGTATTGCTGTGTATGATAGCAACCGAACATGCAAACACCCTACATGGTTTGAGCCAACGATGTAGCAGTCCTCCATGAGAAACAAAGAACCATCCCTATTAGTCACAAATAGAATGGCATCATAGGTTTTTCTTCCCCCGTTCATGTTAAAAAAGACACCACAGATTGAGGTTCGGATTAAAGATTCTGGCTTCTCTACCTGCCATCTTTAGAATCATAAAGCTGGAGGGGCCAATAAGGCCATCAAGTCCAACCCCCTAGCTCTGCCAGGGGATTGTCTACATTTCTCTTAAATATCTCCAGTGCTGGGGCCATTCATCATCTCTCGAGGTCATTGGTTCCATTGTCGTACTGCTCGAACAGTTAGAAAGTTTTTCCTGATATTCGGCCAAAAGAGCAACAATGGGCCCAAGTTCGTCCCGCAAACCCTGAGCAGCGTTACGAAGCATTTGCTCACGTAGTTTTGTGTTTCAAGCAACAACACACTTCTAAAGGAGAATCTCACAAGATGCTGAATGAAGAGAGGGTAGATTTATTCACTAATAGCTTCCTTTGCTTTGCAGGGAAGAATGAGGAGAAATCATGAAATGAGGAACTGCAGGTAGGTTTGGAGCGTTCACTCCTACCTGCTTGAACAAAGATTGAAACGACACACAGGAAGTAAAAACCACATCCATCCAGGATTGTCACTGACATCTCGTCCTATTCATAAAACTATTCAGCTCTAGAGGAACATTATTTACTTCTAACAAAGATTTGTCCCTCACTTCTCCCGAGTTAAGTAAGGGACATATTTTTTACAATGCCAATAAATTCATTTGGTCCATTCATGTAGCAGTTTTTGAAAGCAGTCTTATAGCTCTTCTTCAACATTCCTTGGCTGAGTAAAACAGAAATAGGAAGTCAAACAATTGATGTCTATGGTTTTCCTCAACACACACAACCACACACAGACACAGACACAGACACAGACACAGACACACACAGAGTGCTTGGCTGCTAGTAACATCAGTCCAGTTTACTGTGATGAAGGGCCAACTCTCTTTGGCTGCTAGCAACATCAGTCCAGTTTACTGTGATGAAGGGCCAACTCTCTCGGCCACTCCAGCTGCAGGTGCTCTCCAGGGCTTGTCTGTTAAAGATTCAGGGATCAAAAACTCCAACAGGATGTCTGCAAGACAGTAAACCATGTGCCTAGAAGAGAGGAAACAGGATTTTAAATGGGCCTTCAAACATTTGATGGCGATTCCAAGAATGAACTTTAACTGAGAGGAAATAGGAACAGCACCATGTATGTTATGGCCCAGTGCACCACAACAAAGATGTGCGTAACTTGCAATCTAGTGCTTCATACTACCCATGGTGCTGACTTGCTAGAATAATAATACTACTGAGCACTATATAGTGGCTCCCCACATGCATACTGGAAGGACAGATCCTGAAGCTGAGGCTCCAACATTTTGGCCATCTCATGAGAAGAGAAGACTCCTTGGAAAAGACCCTGAAGTTAGGAAAATGTGAGGGCAAGAGGAAAAGGGGACGACAGAGGATGAGATAGCTGGACAGGGTCATCAAAGCAACCAACATGAATTTGACACAACTCTGGGAGGCAGTGGAAGACAGGAGGGCCTGGCGTGCTCTGGTCCATGGGGTCATGAAGAGTCGGACACAACTTAACAACTAAACAACAACAAAACATGCATACATGTCCCTATGGGGAAGTACCACAACTTGGATATAATCCATGGTATCTCAAAGGACCAGTGATAATAATTATGCATCATGGGGTTGATTCTGATTTATGGTAACCCCTTTCCAGAGTTTTCTAGGTATAGAGTACTCAGAAGAGATTCATCATTTCCTTCTTGTGAAGGTTTTCCCTTGTAGCTCATCCAAGACCACTCATATAATAATTATGCATCATGAGGTTGATTCTGACTTATGGTGATCCCTTTCCAGATTTTTCTGGGTATAGAGTACTCTGAAGAGATTTACCATTTCTTTCTTGTGAGGGCTTTCCCTTGTAGCTCATCCAAGACCACTCAGGTTGGTTCTTCTCTTACACGGCATAGTGGGGAATATTTTACCTGAAACCTTTGCTGGAGACAACATTCACCTAGGTCAGTGGGAAGCAGATTCTCATCACTGCAATATAATGCTGAGTTGGTACTGCCGATCTGAAACACAGTCCTGACCCCTCTACCTAAAGCAACCCTCGTTGAGTTCAATGGGGTTTATTTCCAGGTAAGTGTAAACAGCAAGGTTGGGCAATGTTGGTGAGCCCAAGGGCCAGTGGGTCTAGTCACAGAAGCCACTAAAATTAGAATTGGCTACAACTAAATAGGGTTGCAGATCCGTTCTTGGAGCTGAAAAAATATGGGCTATCTTTGTTTAAGAAGGCCTATGGATGAAGCAAGGGCTGAGGAATCAAAGTCTTGGTTCCAAGGTCTCTCCTAGCTACCTGTGGAGCACCACATACGAGACACCTCGGCACCTACATGCACGAGGATACTCATGGCCAGGGAATGGAACATTATGCTCTGTTGTTTCGAATGTGCTTTAAGCGTTGATTTTATTGACTGTTATTAATACGGCATTTGTTTGATTCTTTTTTAATACTGGCATACCTCTTTAAAATATTGGTATACTCACTATTTTAAGCTTTTAAATGCTGCCTTTTAATTGTTGTAAGCCACCTTGGGTCCTTTTAAGGTGAAAATATTTTAAATAAAATAATATAAAATAAAATATATGATGTGGAAAAAGAGATTATCCTGGAAGAATCATGGCTGACGGGCTGGAAGAGTAAGCAGATTCAGCCTACAATGACACAGGCTGGCAGGCTGCGCTTGCTCCATTATGAATCTGTTTCAGACATTTGGGTGGCTGTGCTTAGGAAACAGCAACCGAAAATGGGAAGATATCGACGGAGGCCGAGGGATCTGAATCCTTGCTGAAGCATCCCCACATTTTTGAGACAATAGGCATCAGAGGGGGTGAGGGGAAGGACAGTTTACTCACAACCTGTAACTGCGGTTCTTTGTGCGGTCTTCAATGTATTCCCAGAATTGGGTGCTTTGCACCTGCACAGATCATCCTACGGAAGAATCATCTGCACAGGTGCAAGGTGCCCAATTGTGTGCATAAATGGGAACCATGATGAAGGAAAAAAAACAGCTGTGACGATCACCCACGTCACTCATGCTATTCATATTCAGGAGCTGATTTGCATGAACCTATAAGAGGACTGGAGAGGCGGAGTCAGCAGCTGCATGAGGCTTGGCGGGAGAAGGAGGAGTCAGATAGGGCTGGTTAGTCCGGGAGAGAGAGAGGGAACAGATACTGAGAGATAGCGCTGGTTACGAAAATGGGTAGAGAAGGTGACAATGATATAGCAAGAGAAAATAAGTATGTACTGAGAGAACTGTTGATGATTTGCTTGTGTATAATGTGTATCTGAGAAACTTCTGTTATTATTCAATCTGCTTCACTCCAATAGATAAATTCTGTTTCTGTTCACAAGACAAGTGTTCTTGACAAATGTCATTTATATCGTTTACTGAGGAAATCCACTGGTGGCAGCGAGAAGAAAACGCGGCATGAGCCTTTGTGAGGGAAAGACAAGCAGGGGCCACAAGGGCAAACGCCACCACAGCTTAATGGGGGCAAACGCTCTGGGTCAGCAGAACGACGGTGGCCCGTCTGTGTGTGGTATGGAGTCACTGGAACCCTGTCGGTGGAGTGCTCAACGCAGCACCAGTTTAATCCAGTACCACCACAGCTTAATCGGGGCAAACGCTCTGGGTCAGCAGAACGCTGGTGGCCTGTCTGTGTGTGGTGTGGAGTCACTGGAACCCTGTAGGTGGGGTGCTCAACGCAGCACCAGTTTAATCCAGTTGCTAAAACATAACATTCCGTGTCACCCCAAAAGTCTTGACATTTTGATCCAACAGATGTTTTCCTTAAGCTGCCCACCATAGGCATTTCTTGGTTTGCCTGCAAAGATGCTGCATTGCCAAAGTTACCTGTTTATGATGGGATGCTGCATGGATTCCAGGGCGAGACTCCAGCTCTGTCGACACTTACTGGTTCCAAGGATTTCGAGAACTAATTCTGTGGACATCAGAGACGGGCATGAATTCCAGAAAACAATCTGAATCTCAGTTTATAACACAAAGTGTCCCTGGAGTGGACTTTCATTGTTTGGATACCAAATGTATGTTTAGAAGATCTGAATCACCAAAGGTGGAGCATCTCTTGAATGATTTTTTTTAAAAAAATACAGATCTCAGAAACGTACCTTTACAGTAAAATGCACCACTTAAGCCTCTTAACTCTGTTCCAGAGAAAGATTCCTCGAGAGAGAAACAATCATAACAATGGGAAGTCTAATGTAATGTCTTATAATGAATAGTACGGTAAAATGTTTAACAAACCGGCTTGACAGAGTTTATACATTCTTACAAGACATGACGTACTGTCTAGCTCTTGAGGGTGGAAATGGGAAGATTGTATCAAAATTCTAAATATTTCATTTGCCCCCAAAAAATAAGCAACAAGGTTTCCATCTCCCATGGTTTTATTACGGTGATTTACAGCATGCCACAAGGGCTTTGCAGCCGAGAGAGCGGGTGCCTGCTGCCTTTTTTCTCGCACAAATGCTACAACAGGCGACGTTTCCACTTCTGGAAGCAGAGGACCCGAAGGACACTTAACCCCTGTTAACGAGATACAGGAAGAATGGCTTCCCCTTGCCTCCCCACCCCCACCCCCTGACGCTAAACTGTATGGCTGCTGATGGGGATAACAGGGCAGGAGCCGAGAGGCCATACACTCTACCCAGCTGATAGGATGGGCTTCCCAGTCTCATTTCTCCCTCTGATGAAACTAGAAGTAGATCACTGGATCTCCTCCCACTCATTTCATTTAGCCCCCTTTGAACCCTGACACTTACTCTAGCATGCTCAGCCCCAATCCCAGAAGGAATATTAACTAAGGGAGAGTTGAGAGTTCTACACCTGATGTCAGGGTTTTGATCTCCCTTCCTCTCTCAATTTATTGTACGAGAAGCCAAATAGACACCCACCAGGTGTACAACACTGACTTAGGCCAGGAATAACAATAATGATCATGTGACATCAACTCAGTTGTCCCATTCATTTCCACATTGATTTCAAAGTGTTAATGATGACATATAAAGCCCTAAATGGTTTAGGATCTCAATACCTAGCAGAATGCCTTCTCCTACCTAGATCTACTCGAGTCACTCACTATAGCCACGAGGGACGGATGAGGGGCCTGATGCCGAGAGAGGCCCGGCTTTGGAGAATTAGACACTGGGTCTTCTCGGCAGTGGCCCCTTGACTTTGGAATTGACTCCCGTCAGAGATCTGCCTGGCACCCTCGCCGGGTGTTTCTAAGAGCCAATTAAAGACTTGGTTCTTTAGGCAGGCCTTCCCCCCGGTCAATACTTGACTTTTACTGTCTACTTAATCTTTTGTTTCATCTTTTCCATCTTGATTAATACTAATATCGTCAAACTAAATCATTGTTTTAATTGTTTTTATGAATAATTTTATTGTGAGCCGCCCTGAGTAGACATATGTCTAGAAGGGCGGGATAAAAATCTAAATGAATGAATGAATGAATGAATGAATGAATGAATAAATGAATAAATAAATGAATGAATGAATGAATGAATGAATGAATGAATAAATAAATAAATAAATAAATAAATAAATAAATAAATAAATAAATAAATAAATAAAATTCTGACTTATGGTCACCTTTCAGAGGGTTTTCCAGGTACAGAGTTCTCAGAAGCGTTTTATCATTCCCTTCTTGTAGGGGTGCCTTGGGACTGTGCAGCTTGCCCAAGGACACCCAGGCTGGCTCTACTTGCAGGAGGCACATAGCTCCCAACCTCTGGCTCCATCGCCAAAACCACTGAGCCGTCGAGCCAGTTGTCTACCCAGGCCAGCATAGGCTAAAAATTAAGGAAGAGGATGGAATTTGTAATAGTGCTCTTTCAAGTCCTCTTGCCCAAAAGTTAATTCCTATGTTCCTTTCAAGTGTTCTTTTCAACATCTTTAATTCAGAGACAAAACAGTCGTTTTTATAGTTAGGAAACAGGGAGCCAGAAAATCCCTCCCGATTTGCTGCAGGTCACTCAGGGCTAAAGCAGGCATCACCGACAGCCTATAGTTAAAAGAGGGGATTCCAAGAGATGCACAACGGCCACAGGGAGAGCATTTCACACCCTGATTATTTCTGAAATGGTCCAAGCTTGGACACAGGCTTTTGTTTGAAAGTGTGATAGCTCAGTTTGCAAAGGTTTTCCTTGGAGCAACTTTGGAAAGGGAACATCCCAGAGCCTTCCAACCTCTTCGGACATTCTCCCTGCTCTCTTCTACATCACCGTGAGAGAATAATGGGCGCGCCTACAAAGCCACCGTGTTGCGCTTGTCTCTGACTTCCACTCACCGGGCAGGATACCCATGAGAAGCTGCAAGGCCTGTCTTTCCGTTGCTGCCTTTTGCTCTTCTGTCCTGTGTGGCTTGGGCACCACGGGCAAGACGCCACCAGGCCAGATGGATTCCTGGAGCAGCCGAAGGTATTGCACCCAACGCTGAGAGCAGGTCAGATTGTCCACCTGGACCTCCAGCCACCTGCAGGCGAAAAAGGAAGGAAGACAAAGAGGAAGGTTCTTTGGACAAGGCTTTGGTTGAATTTACAAAGCTAATGAATACCCTGTACTGTCTCTTCTATTGAAAACTCTAGCAGTTTAGGTAAAGGTTTCCCTTGACATTTAGTCCAGTTGTGTCCGACTCTAGGGGGCGCTGCTCATCCCCATCTCCAAGCTGTAGAGTCAGCGTTTGTTCGAAGACAGTTTCCATTGCCACGTGGCCAGCGCGACTTAGGCACGGAATGCTGTTACCTTCCCACCGAGGTGGTACCTATTTATCTACTTGCATTTTTACATGCTTTCGAACTGCTAGGTTGGCGAGGAGCTGGGACAAGTGACAGGAGCTCCCTCCGTCGCATGGATTCGATCTTACGACTGCAGGTCTTCTGACCTCGCAGCACAGAGGCTTCTGCGGTTTAACCTGCAGCGCCACCACGTCCCCTATATGAACACTCTGTGCTGTCTCCTCTATTGAAAACTCTAGCAGTTTACAAGAAGCCTATTGCAGAGGTGGTAAACAGCTTAAAAATAAACATGCAGGAGATCTATATTTTGAGGTGCCCAGGACAATATTTTCATGCCAAGATAAGGACAAAAATGACTTGATTGTGACTATAAAAAGAAAACGAACCCATTGCTGAGCCATGACTAGTCCTTGAGAGGCAAATTTGAGCACCCCAGTCCTGAGCGGTTCTGAACCAGACAGGATAAAAAAAGAAGAAAGCAGAAGCAAAGGGTGTTGGCTTCCTATTTGGAAATGCATGCCTCGCGCATGAAGTAACGGGGTCTGCATTTGAAGCAAGTGCTAACGAAAGGACGAAGCTGCTGCTAAAAGAGAGTGGGTTTAATCCCAGAGCTTACGATGAAAGCAGGCAAAGAGTCGGCATCAATGGTAAACTGGGGACGTCCAGACCTAGCGGCTGACTGACTGTTCCCCTCTCGTCACCGCTGCTGCTGCCTACTCTTCTGCTCTTTTTAAATGTCCCAAGTCATGTGACCAAAAAAAGGAGCAAAAGTCTATACAGTGGTGCCTCGCTAGACAGATTTTCCCCCGCATGACAGTTTTCTTGCTAGACATTGACTTTTTGTGATCGCTATAGTGATTCGCAAAACAGTGATTCCTATGGGGGAATTTCGCTGGGCAATGTTTGGTCCCTGCTTCGCAAACCGATTTTCGCTAGACGACTATTTTGACAGCTCCCGCCGCGCTCGCAAAACGGGTGTTTTTGGGGCCTAAGCTTCACAAGACAGCGATTTAAACAGCTGATCAGCGGTTCGCAAAGTGGCTTTCCTATGGCCAATCTTCGCTAGACAAGGACGATTCTTCCCCATTGGAATGCATTAAACAGGTTTCAATGCATTCCAATGGGGAAATGCTTTTCGCTAGACGATGATTTCGCTAAGCAGCGATTTCAGTGGAACGGATTATCATCATCTAGCGAGGCACCACTGTATTTGTTATAATTCTTCTTTGCAACTATGGAGGGACCTGGCCCAGAGAGAAAGGGGACATGCGGCGCGGAGCCTACACGGATGAGACCCCAGAGCTGACTGTACCATCTGTGACAGGCAGAGGAAAGGCAAAGAAAGCGACAGAGGGGGAGACAAGGGGAAACTCATTATTTTTACCCCACTGGCATAACTGGATCACAGCTGAAGATCTTTGCGGGGAGAAAGAGGGAGCAAAAGCAGAAAACATCTCTGAAAGGAGGCATCTAGGCAGGATGGATAACTCACAGCTCCGGTATGGTCTATGCCTCACCCTATATAAGGTGGGAATGAAGTAGGTCATAGTGGTTCCCAACTTTGGATCCCCAGATGTTCTTGGACTATAATTCCCAGAAATCCTGGCCAGCACAGCTGGTGGTGAAGGCTTCTGGGAACTATAGTCCAAGAACACCTGGGTTACCCAAGGTTGGGAAACACAGCGTTACAGGATCCTGTAAGTCAGTGGTCCCCAACCTTGGGCCTCCAGATGTTTTTGGACTTCAACTCCCAGAAATCCTGGCTAGCAGAGGTGGTGGTGAAGGCTTCTGGGAGTTGTAGTCCAAGAACATCTGGAGGCCAAAGGTTGGGGACCACTGCTGTAAGTGTCCCCTAACCTTGCTCCAGTGGGTTCCCCTTTGCAGGACTAGTCTTGTGCTACCTGTGAAACTGGTTGGGCCCCTGGGCTTCCCAGTGTGAGTATATGCTTATGTGACTGTGTTTGCGCTCTGAATAAGATACTGGCCATATTAGCTATCACTTCAAGTTCCACCTTTCTTCCATTACAGAAGGGGTGTCATATCCACAGGATTCTTGTAGTTTACTCTCCAGCTTTGAAAAGACCCTAGCCTGACATGTTTCAGAAAGGTTCTAGCGTTATAGGGTTCCAGAACAAAACCCTGGAATGCATAAAATGAAGTAGGGCCTACTACAAAATGTTGTGGTGTTTAATTTTCTACTTACACAGCTAATCCCTCTCCCCTCCTCAATATTCCATTCCATTTCATGGCATCCATACCCAGTGGTATTGCTCATCCTCTATAGCCTGCTTTTCGGATCTTCCCTTCCTTAGTAGGGGTTATGCTGCCATGTGCCACAGCTAAAAAAATGTGACTGGATCCAGGTTTGGCTTTGAAGTCTTTGAGTTGGCACATGTGCTGTACACAGCTAATCCCTCTCCCCTCCTCAATATTCCATTCCATTTCATGGCATCCATACCCAGTGGTATTGCTCATCCTCTATAGCCTGCTTTTCGGATCTTCCCTTCCTTAGTAGGGGTTATGCTGCCATGTGCCACAGCTAAAAAAATGTGACTGGATCCAGGTTTGGCTTTGAAGTCTTTGAGTTGGCACATGTGCTGGCAACTGAATCCGGATCTTCCCTTCCTTAGGAGGGGTTATGCTGCCATGTGCCACAGTTATAAAATGTGACTGGATCCAGGTTTGGCGTTGAAGTCTTTGAGTTGGCACATGTGCTGGCAACTGAATTCAAAGGCCAAATGGTTATTTGGCAAAGGAAGCTGTTCTGCTAGGTGAGTGAAATCACAAAGGAAATAAAACTATGGCCCTTGTATTGACTTGTTTTGACTTCTATGCCACCCCATAGCGCTAAAGCACTCTCCGTGTGATTTACAATACAGTTATACAGACAATACTTTGCCACCCCAGCAAGCTGGGTACTCATTTTATTGACCTCAGAAGGATGGAAGGCGGAGTCAACTTTGAGCCGGCTATCTGAATCTGCTAGGATTGAACTCAGGTTGTAAGCAAAGGCTTGACTGCAGTAATGCAGTTTAACCACTGCACTATGGGTTCCTCTAACCCAGCTGATATTTACCCTTTCATACATACTTAAAAAAAATAAACTTAAGCAAAGGCCCTTTGCTCTGTATATTGGAAACAGAAGGAAAGATTATCCCTATGTCTACCAACACTCTTATTTCACCTCTCATGCCTCTTCCAAAAAGCTCATCTCCAGCTCTCTACGCCTCTGACGATGTCCTAAACATCTGATATTACGATTATTATTTTTTTGTCTTGCACTGGAAAATAGGGATATGCAGTCGGCAGCGGCAGAGCAAACAAAACTTTGCTCAGCAAGTTGCTAAATACGAGTGCAAGGGAAAGAACCAACCCCCTCCCCGAACCAACAATAAATCAGCAAATATGAAGTGCTCTGAATCCCTCCCGAGCATTTGCCAAGAGTCAAGGAAAGCAGCTCAGTATTTTACTGGAAATGTTCCTCACGCCTACCCTGTAAAACTTTACAATGGCATAAACCACGAACAATGTGTTCTGTACCCCTGGCTGGGGAACAGCATGATGAAGTGTTTGTTTAAGCAAAACTGCGATCCTTCCTGACCCCGGAGGGCTAGAAGCGAAGCACACTAACCTCACAACCCCTTCTGCCAGTTTACATCTGGCAGAAGGGGGGGTAAACATCTCAGGTTTGGGCTCTGCTCCCTCTTCCTCTTAAGATGGCACACATCTGCAGATGAAGAGAGCCTCCCTAGACAAACACCACATATCTCAATATGCTAGCTAAATCTTTATGCCTTGCTTGCAATCATCCCGGAGGCATCAAGGCTTAGTCCCTGGGAGGAAAAAGGAGGAAGCACTAGGTCAGGGTGGGGGACCTGTCGGTCTCCAGGCATCACTGAGGGCATTACCCCAACCTTGGGTTAGATGGACCTTCAGAAGGGAAAAAAAAATCCCACTAAAGGTAGGGAAAAGCCCATGGGAAGGGGGAAAATTCCATTGAACGAAGTGGAGGAGATCCTCATTTAATGCTGGAGTGAACTCTAGAAGAATACTAAGATTTCCTTTGGAGGTCTTCAAGTGTCTTTGCCTTCCAATACAATTTAGGGGCTTGTCAGAGTCACCCTCCCTAAAGAAATCTGCAATGTGCATAATCCATACAATTTAACACGCCGGTTTACTGGCCTTAGATTCTAATGACTTGTGATGTTTGCTTTATTATGCAAACATCACCTCTCACTGCTTATTAATTGATGCTATGCTGTGTTTCATTAGATGTTGATGAATTCTTAATCTGAAGCATTATCATGTTTTAATGATCTGAGTTTAAATATATCGTATTTTTCGCTCCATAAGACGCACCTTTCCATAAGACGCACCAATTTTTTAGGAGAAGAAAACAGGAAAATATACCGTATTTTTCGCACCATAAGACGCACTTTTCCCCCACAAAACAGGGGGGTGGAAAGTCTGTGCGTCTTATGGAGCGAAAAATACGGTAATCTGTTTTCTTCACTCCATAAGACGCACAGACTTTCAACCCCCCCTGTTTTGTGGGAAAAAAGTGTGTCTTATGGTGCGAAAAATACGGTAATGTTTCTGCCACCCAATCTGGATTACACTGGCATAAAGTTATACAAAAGAATCTCCACCATAATTTGATATAATTTCTGCCAACTGTTCTGAAATTGTTTGTTGTAATTGTTCTAATACCAGCAATTAAGGCTCTGCATAACAATTG